GTTTTGTGCTTGTATTTTGAAGGTAAAGTGGTGTTCTGAATTTGTGCATGTGTAATTGCAGAATGTGCTTAGTATGAAAATGGTTGTTGAAAGTTCAAAATTCTGAATGTATAATTACTATTAATTTATGTGCAAAAGAATCGTAGTTAGTTAATAAAGAGCATTGTGATATGTGAACTGTGGGTTATTTGAATGCATTGATTACTTTTAAAAGTGTGGAAATATACGTAATGGGTGTTATCTAGGAAAGTGTCATTGAGAGTTCATAAAGTGCAATGATTCGTTAATATTCTGCATTTACTTATAGGCCAGGAAAAGGTAATATTCTAATGAGGGAAAGTGCATTTTCATATATGTTTGGTATTGACATTTTGAAAGTAATATGGTGTTCTGAAATTGTGCATGTGTAATTGCAGAATGTGCTTAGTATGAAACTGGTTGTTGAAAGTTCAAAATTCGGAATGTATGATTACTATTAAGTTATGTGCAAAAGAAGCATAGTTAGTTAATAAAGTGCATTGTGATATGTGAACTGTAGGTTATTTGAATGCATTGATTACTTATAAAAGTGTGGAAATATACGTAATGGGTGTTATTTGTGAAAGTGTAATTGAGAGTTCATAAAGTGCTATGGTTAGTTAATATTCTGCATTTACTTATAGGCCTGTGAAAGGTGATATTGTAATTTATGGAAAGTGCATTTTCATATATGTTTTGTGTTGGTATTTTGAAGGTAAAGTGCATTGTGATATGTGAACGATGGGTTATTTGAATGCATTAATTACTTGTAAAAGTGTGGAAATATACTTAATTGGTGTTATATGTGAAACTGCAATTGAGAGTTAATAAAGTGCTATGGTGACTTAATATTCTGCATTTACTTATTCGGTGAAAATGTATACTAACATGGTATATGTGAAACTGTGCTTGTAACTACATAAACTGGTGTATGTAATAAACAACATTTACTTATGCATGGTTTATTATTAAAGGTGCATTGAATTTCATATTGCAGAAAGGCGGGAGACAATATTGCAAAATGCTAGGAAAGACAAGGGCAAGAGAAAAATGGACTCAACTGCGAATGAAGTTGCAGAGAATAGAGTTAAGAGACAGAGGAAAAAGGGAGGAGAGGAAGATAGTGATGATGATTTCCAGGTTCAACCACATGTTGGTAACGTTGCTACTGAGGTGATGGCCAAGAAAAAGAGTATAAAACAGATAAAATCTGGCTATAAGACTATACGTACCAGATCATCACCTCATGTGTTAGTTAAGGCTCTGAGTGCAATGACCGAACCTCAGAAAGCTGATGTTAAAAAAATAGGCTTTGGTGCACTGTTTGAGCTGGATGTTGCTGAAATTCCTGGAAAGCTTGGTTTTTGGGTGGTGGACAGGTTTGACGCCAAAAAATGCTCATTAGTGCTTCCCGATGGTACTAATGTGCATATAACAGAGGAGGATGTAGCAAGAGTCTTGGGGTTTCGTTTGGGAGGAAAACCAATTGTTCAAAAGAAGAAAAATGAAGACTGTGCCTTGTTGAATGAATGGAGAGAAATATTTGACAAAGAGGACTCAAAGATTAGCCCTTCTGATGTTAGTGCGGCCATGCTTAGCAACACTCATGGAGGTGATTGGTTCAAGAGGCATTTCGTCGTTCTTGTTGTATATTTGTTGCTTGATAGCACCCAGAATGGATATGTCAATCCACTGATAATGAATCAATTGGAAGATGTGGACAAGATTAGTGAACTAAATTGGTGCGACCATGTTCTTAATTGTTTGATTGAGAACAAAGTGTCATGGGACAAGAAGAAAGAAAAAGCCTTTACCGGTCCATTGTTGTTTCTAATCGTAAGTTAAATTAATTAAAAAATATGCTTACAGAATTTAATATTTTATTTCCTCTAATCTGTAAAATGTATTAATAATGATTTTTTGTGCAGTTGTTCTATGTGGATCGTGTTGAGTTATACAGACGCAAAGTGGATAGGACTCTACCAGTTCTGAAAGGGTGGAATGGAAAACGACTGAGGGATAGAGAATTGCTAGAAATTGAGACAGGAGGTTTTGGGTTGGGGTACTGTGATGTGGCAATGAATATTGAAGGATGTGTGCAGACGAATCAGGAAAAGGGAATAGATGGGGAAGCTGGAACCAGACAGGAAATGTTGGTGCAATGTACTGCTACTGGAAGTGTAGCTGAGGTATGGTTTTAAAAATACATGTTTGAGAAGAGCAAAATTTATCATATAAATTTTGCATGAGTGTGAATATGACAAACCTTTATCTTTGATTATTTATTACAGGAATTTGTGATCAGATTTGCTGAAAAAACCAAAGCCTTGGCATCAATTGTGGTTGATGTGATAAACATGTGTGAACAAGCTCCGAGAAGCTTAATTGAATCACAAAAGTACATAAAAATGCAAGAGGCTGCACAGGATTTGATTGGTCTAGCTAAGAAGAAAAGAATGGTGGATGGTGGAGAAGAAACAGAAGTTAGAAGTACCGCGGAGATAGAAGACGCTGCGTTTTGGGATGAAACGATAAGTGCAGTTGAGAGGGTGGAGAGAGCAAATATGAAGAAGTCGTTGTATGAGAAGGGTATTCAAGAGCAGCCATCTTTTTCAATTGGCCTGACACAAGAAAAACCTACGCAATGGGGCAGCATTACAGACCTGTGTGCCGAAATTGATAAAGAAGTGAATGATGATATGGTATATATACAAAAGCTAACTCATATTATGCTTATTTTTTTATATAAAATAATGTACTTACTTTAAATTTTGTTTTTTAAGGATCAAGGAGTGGGTAATGTGGGAACTGAGACAGTGATGGAAGATAATGAAGCTGGTGAGGTAAATAAAAATTATACATATTTACAATATACGTTCTACTCGAAAAGGTAAAACAGCAAAATATGCAGATGGTGAGGCTTGCGTGTGCATTGTGTATATTCATTTTTCGCATATAGAAAACTTTTTGTGTGAAACTTGTATTACTATTATTATTTCAATTGTTTTGCAGGATCAAGGTGAGGGGGATCTGAGGACAGAGACAATAAAGAGAAAAGAAGCGGTGGTTGAGGTGACTAAAGTGTATAAATATTCAAATAATATAATATTAAAGTAACCAAAATTGCAGCTTGTAAAGCTTGATTGAGCAGTATGACTTTTTATTTGAGCATATATATGACGTATTGTTTCAGATATGTAATTATTTAATTTTTTTTTAAACGATCAGTTGGAGGAGGATATGACTAGGACATTGAAGGGAAAGCAAGCACTTGTTGAGGTAAGTGAAGTTTATATTTAAAGAATGCATTTGTTTTGAAGATTTTTTCAAGTATAATATTAATAGTGTTTTCATTTGTTTAGGAGCACGAAGAGGAGGGTCTGACAAGTGAGGTGGTGAATGGAAAAGAAGCAGTGATTGAGGTTAGTCAAAGTTTACAATAATCTTAGAATTCGTAATGTGCAACTGTTGAGGCGTCATTGTGGATTGCATATGTTACTTTGACCACATATACAATATTTGTTTTTAACTTCAATATGCAGGAGGACAAAATGAAGGGAGTAAATAAGCAATTGGTGTTAGGGAAAAGCACTTATTTGAGGCCAAGACGGACGGGAAAGACTGCGGAAGTGTGTAAATCGCAAGACATGGCAAGGGTTATAGACCCTTCAGACACAGCAAATGCCAAAGAAAAGATGATATGGAGATGGGTGATGCAAAATGCTACAGACAAGAGGTTAAATAGTAAAAAAAATTGTTATGTGTGTGTTTGTGTGTGCATCATTGTTAAGATTTACAGAACCTGTGCAAACGATTTTGTATTGTAACAAGTTATGTTCTTGTGGTGCAGTTCTTTTTCCCAATTGTGCAACCACAACATTGTTATGTTGTGTGTTTCAACATGAAGAAACAACAAGTTGAAGTGTTAGACAACACAGTTGATAAACTGGACTTGGATGACAAGTATGGTGAGATGCCCAATACTTTGGTAAGTGTGTAAATGATACACATCAACATCGTAATATGTACGAATTCTCTTGATTCACAAATATTAATTGGTTCACTTGTAAATTGTGAAAACAGAGAGATATGTTTGTGGGTTACTTGTCAGAACTGCGTCTTGATAATGAACACAACACATTTTACACACCGAATGTGAAGAGGTTGGAAATGAATTGGAGAGAAACTAAAAATGAGCATGATTATGGCTTGTGGAGCATGCGGCACATGGAGACCTACATGGGGCAAGGCGCCAAAGGATGGGATTGTGGAGTGAAGAAAGGGGATGTGAAGCGACTGATGGCATTGCGAGTCAAGTATTGTGCAGCATTTATCACATCAGACGTCAATGAGATGAAGGAAAAGAGCTTAGAGGAGGTGAAGCAATTTGGGAAAGGAAAGAATATTAAGTAAACACGAAGTTGGGATTAAACAATGATTGAACTTTTTTTTGTGACGCGCATTTCTTATTTTTAAAAGGCGTGGTGCCTTATACATTTGGGTTTTTTGGTTAACGACACGAATTGCATTATTCAGTTTAAATTGCATTTGTTTTTGTCTTTATTGTTTGACCTATACTTACAATGTTATGTGGTGTGGTGAATGTGCATATCTACCTCATGTGTTTATCTTTTCAAATAAAAACAATGGGGTGTTTAAATAAGTCAATGCTTTATTTGCTTAATACAATTCAATATGTGTTTAAAAGACTACAATTTTTTATGAATTCAATTTCATTTTAATTACGTGCCTTATGAAATGCATTTAATGTGCTATTTTTTTGTGATGTACTTAAACTGAAATAGATTATGTCTAATGATATGAATTATTGAATGCACGTTAGAGTAATTTAAAGACTGCACATTTGTGTTGTAAAAAATGCACCATTGGTTGAAATCATTGAGTATTTTTTCCTTTACTTAGAGGAATTGAAGGAAAAATCCTTCCCAATCAGTACAAATTTGTAATATTATTATGCAAAAGGAAAACAAAGAATTAAAAAAATAAATTGAAAACAATAATCATTCGTATAGATTGGAATTGCCATTCACAAAAATGATTAGAAATAAACATTCATTGCTAAAAAGGATCAAAAGCAAATTTCATAAAAGTGAATAAAAAAACATCATTCCTCCGAGTTCAAAGGACAATTCCTACTGTCATGATACCCTTTTTGATTACATTTTCTACATAATCTCTTAGTCTTCTGGCTCACTTCAATAGCCTTCTCCTTGCCACCTTTGATTCTCTTACCGCAACCCTTGTTTCGGGACTGCTGAGGTGGATGCACATTAACTTCGGTAGGAATAGATGACCCATAAAAGTTTTTGATAACATCACTTTTTGTGGATGCTGCTGCACTACTCCCTTGAGAGCTACACAATAATTCTTTCTGCACCTTAATGGCATCTGCAAACTGCTGAAACAATTGAGGTTTATGGTCAATCATTCCAACGCAGAAATGAATATCGGACCACAATGTCTTCATAGCTAAGTTTTGTTCTTCTGTGTCAACACACTGTTGAAAAACACCATCTTCAAATGAATTAAGGGGCTTTAGAATGGAATCTTTGCACCATCGACGTAGCACATATCTATCTGGAATTGCATTGACCTTCTTCTCTTTCAACACAAAAAAAATGTGACGACACAATATTCCAATCCTTTCAAAATGTTTGCAAGAACAAACTGTAGAACCGTCAGTACTATTGTGCACAACTGTGAAATTAAAACCTCGTTCATCTGATATGACATACGTAAACACACAACCTTCATGATGGAGACTGAGAACAACACAAGAAAAACAAGCACAACATATTTCCTTCTGAACGAGATAAAAAATTGAATGATTATAAACAGAAGAAGCATATCTTTCAATATGTAACGGGGTCTTGTACTCGGGAATAGAGGACTCAGAAACTTTCGTCAATTGTGCACTATTATGTCTTTGAGAATCCATTGCACTCTCAAACTGCATATAAAACTCCACCAGACTGAAATTAGGATTCGTGAATTCATTAAAAAAATTATTTTCACTCTCAGAACGTGATGTAGTCCTAAGCAAACCCGCCATAAATATATCACCAAAATAAGCAGGAATCCACATATTCCTAATCTCAAACATCTGTGAGAACCAATTGTGATTAAGTAGGTCATATTCTTTCATCAAATTGGTCCATCTCAGTTCAAATTCGGCTGGCTGCAAATAATGACTCCACACAACAGAATTCAATTCCTTCATGAAATCAGAATTGTTACTCAAAACAGGTCCAACTTTCTTACTCACCTTCTCCATAATATGCCACATGCAAAATCTATGACATGATTTTGTGAGAACCTGTGGAATAGCAATTTTCATGGATGGGTCTTGATCTGTTATGATGCACTTGGGTTCCCGACCCATTGCATTCAAGAAACAACGAAATAACCAAACATATGATTCCACATCTTCTTTCGACAACAAACCCACACCAAAAGTAATGCACTTTTTGTGATTATCAACGCCAGTAAAAGGGGCAAAAACCATGTCATACCTGCATTGTGAATTAAAAAACACAAAAAATGCATTGAATAGGATAAACATGTGCATCACGAAGAATTTTGCAAAGCAAAACAGAATTAATAAAAACAGAATTTCAACTGCATATAATTTTAAAAAATAAAGGTAAGTTAAAGAATGGAAGAATTAGTTAAAACAACAGAACCTGTTTGTCTCATAGGTAGCATCAAAAGAGACAACATCCCCGAATAACGCATAGTTCTTTATGCACACTGGGTCCGCCCAAAATATACGTGTCAACTGGTCACTCTCATCAACATCGTAGTCAAATGAAAAGGCTGAAGAAATCTCTTTCTTCCTAAATAGCTTATCTATCAACATTTGGGCATCCACACCAACTAAATAAGCCTTCAAGTCGCGTTTAAAATTCTTAAAATCCACAGACGTAGCACCGATATTGGCATAACCCCCAACAATTTCCTTATACAATCGGTAAGATTTCATGGTACCGATATTGGCTTTAGCACAATTTAGGAAAAATTTTTGATGACCAATATCAAGTTTCCTGTTGACTTTTAAAAACGGCATAGAAGAGGGAGAAGACATACCATGATTGTGCCTCTCCTCAAAAAATGTAATTTTATATCCATCCATGCCTGCAAGCCTAAAAACCGCACGTGCTTTGCAATCACACCTATTAGAAACTGTGCGTCTTTTTTTCTCGTCGTCATCAACGCATACGCCCGGAGTTGGTAAATCTTCAACGTGAGCTTCCTCTTCATTTTCAGATCCATCAGATTCACATGACTCATTTTCAGTCATGAACTCTTCATTTTCACCACTAAACACATTATCTAAATCAACATTCTTGCAGGAATCACTGTTAGGTGCAACCGTCTTAGATTTAGACACATTTTTAAAGCCCTGCCTATTACACACCATATGTTTCCAAACAATAACGCCATCACGAGCCCTTTTTTGACTACTTTTACGTGATTCAAAACCACAAACTTTTGCATATTGATCATAAAAACTCATACCATCATGCAAGGTGTTAAACAACATACCAACACGCGGTTTAAAAGTAGGGTCACAAACCGGTGTGCAGTACATAGTGGATCTCGGAGAAACTTGCATTGTATCAACATCAAACGATTGAGAAACGGCTTCAGATGCACTGAAGGGAACATCATTTGAATCTAATGGAACCATTCAAAAAAAAGTATTCACAAAAAGATGTTTTAGCAGAAAGTATACAAAAAAAGTGCACTGTCATAATGCATATAAGAGCATCACAATAATATTTAAGTGCACAACAAAAATATTCAGAAATTAACAAATACATGCTATTAACATACACTACAGTAAAGTGCAATATAAGAATGCATATAAGAGATCATAATAATATTTGAAGTGTGCATAAATAATATTCAGAAATTAACAAAACCTTGCTCTTAACATACACTAGAGTAAAAGTGCAATATCCAACCAAACACATATCCAACATAATCCAATTTAGAGTGCATTACAAAATAGTCAAAATTTAAGCATGTACATTAAACAAATTTTAAGTCCATGATTCATATACATTAAGCGCATGTCGTTTACAATATTCAAACAACGTAAAAATTATATGTCCTAAATGTCCGTTTTGGGTAAAAATTGCACATATATTCATCCAAGAACGTAAAACTTGAACAGTTTAAACAATGATATAATTAATTCCAATAATACTCACCGAACTCCATGGAATCGTTGCCCTGGAGCCAAAAACTCGAAACGCAGTACGTACACCAAATACGATAGGTTCAAACTCGACAAAAACAAAGGAGGCCGGAAAGAAGAACGACGAAGGAGGAATAACAGAGCACCAGAATCCGAGCAACGCTTTCACTTCTGGACGAAATCCGATCAATACGTTCGTGGTTGGCACAAGCAAAGAAGAACGCAGAAGAAGGAAAATATCTTTGGAAAGAGATCTTGGAGAAACGGAGATCTTGGAGAAACGGTTGTAGAAGGAAATCGGTTGTGGAAGGAAATCATGCAGCGTACGTTTAGGAAGTCTACAAACGTGTCATTGAAAATGTCTTCCTTACCCTTAATGAAGGTTTAGGCGCACGGATTATTATAATCCAATCCAATGGTTGTGATTTGTTCTTTTTTACTCTCCTAAGATTAAGTTCTCACATGAACCTAATATATATATATATATATATATATATATATATATATATAGAGAGAGAGAGAGAGAGAGAGAGAGAGAGAGAGAGAGAGAGAGAGAGAGAGAGAGAGAGAATGATCCTGTCCAGCACGTTTTTGTCCGAACGCCCTCCGAACATGGCCATTTGGGGCCCTTCCCGGTGGCATTTTTTGATGAAATTTGTTGATCATGTTCCTCATCAAGTCTAGTTTTTCCATACCAAATTTCAGCTCAAAACTCGACCGGGAAGACATTCAACTCATTTTTTGAAGTTGACTACGTTTTTTATATGTATATTTTGACGCAGTCAACTTCAACAAATTATTTGAATGCCTTCCCGATCGAATTTTGAGCTGAAATTTGGTATGGACAAACTAGACTTGATGAGGAACATGCTCAAAAAAATTCCACCGGAAAGGGCCCCAAATGGGGATGTTCGGACGGTGTTCGGACCAGGAATGTTCGGACCTGAACATTCCTCTATATATGTATATATAGGGATTGGTTCAAGTAAAAAGTAGTTTTCCCATAAAAAGTGAGAACAAATCTTGGCCTTCCATCACTTGAAAATGAATGGATTAGATGAACTTTAAACACAAGAGATGATTTAAAAAAATATGCAAACGTTTATACTATAAAGTGGATAATTACCCATTAAATGTGCACTCATGCGTGTCAAAAAAGATTGTAAAAATTTTCCAGCTTGTGCACTTTTTATTTTGTACCGTATTGCACTTTTGTGCTCTACATATGCACTTTTTGACTATGCTAATGCACATTTGTCATAATATTTTCAATAAAAGTTCTCCGTAATTACAAATATGCCACCGCGTTTCCTACCTCAAAATTGATCTTTTCCATCCATTTTTTCACATCAATGGCCAAGATTAGTTCTTATTTTTCACCCAAGAAGCAGTTTATATTTGATCCATACTATATATATATATATATATATATATATATATATTCATAATATATAAATTTAGCGCACTATATAGCACATGTGATTTAGAAAATGCATTAAAAACCTATGTTAAAATAATTCATACACAAAACTCTCTCCCAGAACAAATTTAATAATTTAGAAATCATTTATCTAAATTTTACGACTAAATATGCAAGTAAATATTTCAAGACCCTCTAAATTATGCATAAATCGTACTCCGTAAATACTATTCAATTTTTTTATTTGAAAATTAAATTTGTTCATTGAAGGTTTTTGCACATGAATAATTAAAACCCATGAGTTTGACACGTTTTTTAAAGGTCACAACTCTGGTACCCATTTAAAAAATATGGTACCGTACTTATCATACACTTGATTGGTCCAAATCATAACATCATTTTTAATTTAGATTTAAATAATTCAACTGCATCACTATGATTGGTTCATTGGACAAAAATATGATACGGTAAAATCTTAAGGGTACCTTAAGGGTACCACAAAATCTACCTTTTTAAATTACAACGGAAGGAAATTTGAGCCATTAAACCCTGCACATATAACGTTCAAATTACCTATGATGTCAAAAACGAACCGAGAGGTGACCCGGTCATTGATAGATCAACCTGGTCAAATATTATTTAAAAATAAAACATATATAAAATATATTAAATTAAAGGTGTATACTGAAAAATCACTCTCATTCAAAATTTAATAATGGTTATCAAATTAAATTAAAAGTAATATGTTAGTATTTCAAACAAAATTCATAAAATTCAATGATAAATGTATTTATATAAAAAAAAGTTATAAGTATGATTGATAAATGTAATGGATATTTTATTAATATGTAGTAGTTTATACAACTGGAAGGAGACCACTCGATGATCTGAGCTCCAAGCATTGGTGTATTGAATCGTGAAGCTTCTTGTCAACGTTCTCTATGATCCACCAGTCCACGACTACTAGATATCTTCTGGGAATGCACGCCTCCCTTGCATATCTCTCAAGTGTGTTGGGCAAGTGAGCAAGTCTACTCTTTGACTTTTCACGACATTTGCTAGGAGAAATTCCCTTTTTGCAGTTTCTAACTCTTCTTTTTTTTTATGATGTGTATGCTTTAGCTACACTGTAGAGAACATACAAAGAAACCAACATTATGAACATAATGTCAACCATGTAGACACGTTACTTGATGTTAGATTTTGTTGGAAATATGATGAAAAATTATTTTGAGTGGTCTGATCTCATTTTTGGGTCCTGGGATATATTCGTAATATAAACATATGTAATGGGAGTGACTTATTATCAAAGTACAACTTGTATACTCGGATATATTTCATTCGGTTATTAGAAACCATAGTTGTAAAAGTTGTAAAGTGAAATGTCAAAATTGTAAATTATTGTTCTATATCATAAATAAAATATTATGTGATAAGGAATATCATTCAAGTATCACATATGATAGCTTGAAATATTATTCCATAAGTTAAAAGTGTATTGGAAAATATCTCAAGTTAAAAGGTCATTTCATTTGTGGACAACAATTTTGAAATGTGTTATTATTATCTTAATAGTGGCATTAAAACCGTTGCTTTTAAGCTCAATTCGGACGTTTCAAATTGTTGAATTTGAATAGCCGAGTGGATATCTCTACAATCTTATAAGAGTGAATATTGTTAAGGGTGTAATGGTCATACAAAATGTGTTGGTGTCTCTTGGTGCAAAAAGTTATAGTACATCTTGTATGATTTTTTTGTACTTTTAAACTTATTTTAGTTTGGGTTTTAACAGAATCTCCTTGAAATTTAACGGCATTGATGACGGATGGTGTCTCCTATCAAATCCGAGAGTATCGATCGACTCTACTGCTGCTCCGCAACCATCAAAAGCCAACGACCAGATTGAAGATTGCCTTCCCAGTCCGAAGCCCCCCCTCCTGAAAGCCACTACACGGTGTGTCGGTGTTCCTTCTGAGCTGTGATGGGTTTCTCAGGTCAAAAATGGCTGCCTGTTAGCCTCTAAGGCCATTTGGAGTGATGTAGTATTAGGAGTCTAAAATGTTAAAGATGGAACTTTTGGACTCCTAATTTCATGTAGTGGTAGGCTAAATAGGGTATTAAAAATGGAAGAGGGGATGTAGGATGTTAGAAATAGAGGGTGGGTTGGTAGGAGTGGAAAAAAGAAAAATAAAAGAAATAGTGAAGGGAATGACCAAGAATGCATTGTATGGATGTGAAGATGATGTCATCCCTGCATCATTCTAATCCCAAATTTTTTAAAACTCTTATAACTTTTTTATTTGTTCTCCAAATTTTTCAAAAGATATATCAAAATTTACGAATTTTTATTATCTTTCATATGACACCAACATGTAATATATTAAATGAAAAAAATCTTATGTTTTAACTATTGGAATTTTCTTGAGCCTGAAAAAATACAAGACACAAATTTTAATTCATGGAGCCTCTACACATAACTGAATATTCCATAATAAAACTTTACTAGGACTAAATTCATTTTTTGTTAACTGAAAAACGTAAAAAAAATGAAATTTATTTATTTTTACATCGAAATATGTATTTTTTATTTTATAATTATTTAGGGAAAAAAGTAAATTGAAAATATTTCTTATGATGATTTAACTAATGTTTTACTAAATTGATATGTGAAAAATATGCTGAATGTATTTTATTGACGGTGCTGGGATGCAAGGAATAAGAGTCTAAACACTGTTTTCATATGGACGGAGTCCATTTTTTACTTTTTAGCCTCCTAACCACTACAAATGGTCTAAGTCTTTCTTTTGTTTTCAATTTATCTCTTTTTATGAAGGTGAAAGAGAATTGAGAAAGAATATGATAACCGAATATTATATATATGGATGATCTCATGATCTGACGACAAACATTGTTGATTTTTTTAGCATATTTGCTTTTACTAGAGGCTCTGCTATTACTGCTGCCAAACGTGCGTTCATCCTTCATGAAGTTTTATCGTGATGATGATGGTATCATCATCATCGTTGTTTTAGAAAACACCATTGGTAAGAATAAGTTTTTCACTTTGGATTGAGATTTTATGGTCTAATCAGATCTGAACTGGTCTGATCTGGTTTGAAAAACGTCTGTTCTCTGTGTATTTTATAACTATCCAAGTATGATCTGATCTGGTCAAACTGAAACAATCCAAGTAAAAACATCCCGGGAGCTTGTGTACATTGTACGTAGTCCTTTCTTAGTTAGTACTACCTCCGTCCCATTTTATGTGTCTCACTTTGACTTGCACAGGTACTAATAAAGTGGTTGAAAAAATAAAAGTCAGTGGTTGAGGTTTGAGTATAATAAAGTGAAATGGTGTAGATCACATATTTCTTTTCAAAAAAAAAGAAATGACACACTTATTTTGGGACAACTCAAAAAGGAAAGTAAGACAGATAAAATGGGACGGTGGGAGTACTTCGTATTATGCTATTTAATTGTATTGGGGACTTCATTTTTACAGAATTAGATAAATAATAAGAAAAGGTAAGGTTGTAATTACTTTTCTGATTGTATTGGCTGAAGTTACTGTAGATGAGCATTTTACCTATTTTACATGTAATTTTTTCTTTATTTTATTAGTAAAATATAGTTTAAATATAATTTTTTATAAATCAGCAGAATCATCCGATTCAAGCACTTTAGCCAGGATTTCATAAATTTCAGCAGAATCAGCCGATTCAGCCGATCTTGATATTACCAAACATGCACCTAATTTTGGAGTCGGTTTGGTAATACCAAATCGGCTGTATTGACTATTCATATCCCAAACTTCCATGCCAAATTATTTCAATGTAGTTGCTTTACAAATGTCTTGTTGAGTGATGTTTCATGGAAATAATATTTCTCTTTTGGTTAAGGAGTCATCTTTATCACAATTTCTAAATGTTGATAGTAGGAATTTGCATTACTTAAGTTTTTTCTACTTTGAATGCAATAGTACTGAATGCTTAGTTGCTTATTGTTTTTACAGCTAAAGAAGTATGTACACAGATTGTTTATTCTTTTCACAAGTTCATGATATTGTTTTTATTTTTTCATCAGATTTGAGAAAAATGGTTGAATGGAAAGTGTTAGCCCAAAGTTAACAAACGTATTCCGACAACCTCTTTACATATTAACCACAAATGAAAAACTCCTCAAGAATGGAGAATATATAGAGAGAGCTCTCATAAAAACACCTACAAACTATTTCATTTGAAATTAAAATGTACAAGCATAACCATTTATATTTAAAAAGTACATCATCAAATATAATTAACACAACAATCTCATATTTAGAAAGTGAGTTGGTTTACAAAATATGGCAATGTGTGAATTTTTTAATGATTTTGAAAAATTAGAAGTGATTTTATTTTAGTTAAATGTAATGTTGCTATTAGTCTTTGTTTAGAAGTTGTCACCTTTTGTTAAAGGAGACACATAGAGGTGATGTATAATTTTATTAAACTTCTAACTGTGTTTCACAACAATACATTAGTGTATGTACGCTCCTCCTTTACTTGTTAAATTAATATGATTGTAATAGCATTGGACATTTACACGAACGCGATGGCGCGTTACTAAACTAGTTTAATAATAAGCACGGTCAAGAGTTATTCAAGGATCCTGGAATCATGATCATGGAATAACCGATACTTGACTTACTTCCCATTGGTATGATTATATCGTTTTTTCTGATTTCTAAAAGAGTAGTGGGCTGCTCATCATTAATCCTCCTGAAGCCATAAATATACCTGTCAAAAGGAGAGCACGAACTCCTTAATTTTTCTTCTCTTCTACTTGCTCACAAAATATTACAACAGAGAGGCATTTTCCTCTGCTTTATCCATACGTGTTCTTGTCTAAAGGAGTGTCCTTTTCTTTTCAATGGGAAAAGTTAAGATCTGCAAAGTTCATAATCTATAATTCATTCTTTTCGAGCTCATTACTTCTTAAGGCATTTTGGGCAACGATCCAAGGTTTCAGTCAAGATAGCTACAAATCTGAAACGTGGTAGGATTATCCTGGGAGCGAGCTAGCCAGACCCGTCCGAATAGCTATCGGGATACGGGGGCTATCTTTCTTCAAGGCCAGTCCGTTTTAACGGGCGATCCTGCGATAAGTTTTCTTATCCTTACTTTTTATTTATTTTGACTTATTCTAATTATTATTATTATTATTATTATTATTATTATTATTATTATTATTATTATTATTATTATTATTATTATTATTATTATTATTATTATTATTATTATTATTTTGTTCTTGCATCTGGTGGTTTGTCTAGTGATGTGTTCAAACTCGGGATTTTTATCTGGTTAAACTCGCATTTTAATATCATTTTCTAACAATCTTGAAGAAAGATATTATTTCTCGAGTTTTGAAAAATCCAAAAATGGCAAACTTGGAAAGTGCTGTTAACAATGAAACTGTTGGTTTAGAGAATGCTTTTGTCGCCCCTGAAAATGACAATTCTGTGTTTGTCACTAATTCACAAGGCACACCTGAATATATTGCTACGGGCTCGCACAGGGTGGATTTAACCGGGATGCCCGAAAAATTTTCTGGGCATTTTTTCAAGCGTTGGCAACAACGCATGAAAATTTGGTTAATCACCAAGGGCTTGCTTTCAATGATTATGACGGTGTGTCCTCCGGTTGTCGAATCTGATCCCAAAAGTCTTGAACGTCATGGACTTTGGCTTGAGAGGGACGAAATTGCAAAAGACATGATTCTCATGGGTTTATCCGACATGTTATCTGATGTCTATTGCACCCTCCATGGGACGACCAAAGACCTTTGGGATGAGTTAGATAGAAAATATAATACTGATGACCACGATCTTGAAAAATATATTGTTTCTAAATTCTTACGATTTGACATGAAAGAAGGAAAATTGGTTTTAGAACAGACACAAGAATTTGAGCTTATCTTACATTCTCTTCGTGAAGCGGACATGGAATTGCCTGAAAAAATTTAAAGTGATGGCGGTGATAGAAAAATTTCCCAAATCATGAGAAGATTTTGGCATGACTTTAAAACATAAAATGAAAAAGATCACGTGGAAATCTTTGATGCATTCCATTACTGTTGAGGAGGAACATAAGAAAGCGGGTTATATTGCACCTGTTGAATTTCAACCGAAGGTTCATGTTATAACTGGGGGAAAGCAAGCACATAACTCTAAAAATAAGCAACCATCATCTATTAAACAAATAAAGGCCAAATTAAACATTGCAAAGAAACCAAAGGCAAACCGACCATGCTGGAACTGTGGACAGATGGGGCATTGGGCCAAATTATGTCCAAATAAAAAGGCCAAGGCTCAATCTGGGGAACCTCAAGTCAACATGGTGACTGGAGGGACTAGTTCTAATGGGTACGTTTCTATTAATCCTCAAATTTTCACTATTTATAATTCCAATGAGTGGCTAATAGATACAGGAGCGAATGTGCATGTATGTGCTGACAAATCGCTCTTTGTTTCTTATCATCCTGCAGTTGGAAGAACACTGATGATGGAGAACACAAGTGCTGCAAGTGTGCAAGGAATTGGAAAAGTAGAAATAAAATTCTCTTCAGGAAAAATTCTATCTTTGCATGGAGTGCATCACGTTCCCGAAATTAGAAGGAACATCGTTAGTGGTTTCATTCTAGTTAGGGAGGGTTATGAGTTGTCTTTTAAATTAAATAAAGTTGTAATTTTATTTGGTGGAACTTTTATTGGCAAGGGTTACTTGTCTGATGGACTTTTTAAAGTTATGGTTGATTATTTAGAATTAAATTATGTATCTGAGAATTGTGATTCTCAACTTTATGACATTATCGTTTGGGTCACGTTAATTTAGATTCTGTGAAAAGAATGATGAATTTAAATTTAATTCCTAAGCACTCTATTGATAAAACTAAGAAATGTATGGTATGTGCTAGTACTAAACAAGTAAGAAAACCATATCATTCAATTGATAGAAATTCAGTAGGGGTGGGCACGGTCCGGGACGGAACGGGAATTGGGTTGTCCCGGTCCCGAACCCGTTTTACAATAACGGTTCGGAACGGGACGGGACAAGACATTGTCCCTTTGTTGTCCCGTTTAAACCGGTACCGGGACAAAACGGGACGGTTCGGGACATCCCAAAAAATTGTAGTCAAACAATTTCAATCCAAAAACAAAACAAAGCTATTTGAAAAAAAAACTAGCGCAAGAAAACTCTATGACAAAAAAGCTATAGCTAATATAGAAAATTGTGAGAAAAAAATGCAACTTACCAGATTAGCTGCATGAAACAAAAGTTGCAGCAGAAAAAACTATATCACAAAAATCTATCAAGAAATCTATAATAAAATGATAAAAGAATACTTTGAGAGTAAAATCAATTTCTTTTTTTGTAGATAGATGATAGTTCATAGTATGTGATAGTAGGTAGTTTAGAGTTTTTTTAGGTGTTATATTATTAATCAACTAGTATTTAATAATCATTTGTATTTGGGTTGTGAAAAAAGAATAACTATTATTATTTGGATTACATAATGAGTTGTTAATAAACTCACTAACCTACTACAAAGTACTACGTACAATTTTGGATTCGGGACAACGGGACGGAACGGGATATATTTTACTTGTCCCGGTCCCGTTTTGTTTTAAAACGGTTCGGGACCGGTACGGGACAAAAATAATGTATCCCAAATATAACGGGACAATTTCGGGACGGAACCGGAACATTCCGGAACGGACCAACGGGACCGGGTCTTTTGCCCACCCCTAAAATTCAGAATTACTTGATTTAGTTCATACCGACATTTGTGAGTTTAATGAAGTGCTTACAGTGATAAGAAAAAATACTTTATCACTTTATTGACGATTATTCTAAATACTGTTATATGTATCTACTTAAGGGTAAAGATGAAGCTCTTGAAAAAATCTTAATTTTTAAGAATGAAATAGAGAATCAAACTGGCAAGAAAATAAAAGGTTAAGGTCTGATAGGGGAGGAGAGTATACTTCTAATTTAGTTGTACTGGAATGCCAAAAATATGGTATAGTACATGAGGAAACACCTCCTTATTCACCACAATCAAATGGAGTAGCTGAACGGAAAAATAGAACTTTTAAAGATATGATTAACAATTTATTAGAGAATTCTGGATTACCTAAATTTATGTGGGGGGAAGCCTTGAACATAGGATTCCCATGAAGCATAAAGATAAGTGTCCATTTGAACTCTTGACAGACAGAAAACCAAGTTTGAAATATTTTAAGGTGTGGGGCTGTCTTGAAAAAGTATTAGTCCCTGAACATAAAAGAAAGAAACTTGGGCCTAAAACTGTTGATGCTATTTTTATTGGTTATGTTGAAAATTCTTATGCAATGAGATTTTTGGTTATTAAGTCTGAAATTTCTGGCATAGATGTCAATACTATTGTAGAATTTCGTGATGCTACTTTCTTTGAAGATGTTTTTCCAATGAAAACGGGTGTGCCCCAAAATACTTCTTTTGAAAATCAAGAAACTACATTTAATTCAATTCCTGATCAAGTGGAAAAGATGACAAATGTGGGGGCAGAGTCTGGTAGTTCTAGTCATAATGATTTTGAATCAAATGATCTTGATGAACCGAGAAGGAGCAAACGAGCTAGAATCACTAAGGATTTGGAAGTGATTTTATCACTTACAATATTGAGGGTGATCCAATTTCCTTTAGAGATGCAATGGTCACGTCTGAGGCCATGTATTGGAAGGATGCCATTAAAAGTGAAATGGACTCCATTGTTCAAAATGGAACATGGGAGCTTATTTATCTTCCTCCCGGGTGTACTACTATTGGATGTAAATGGATTTTTAAAAAGAAGCTAAAACCAGATGGAACCATTGATAAATATAAGGCCAGATTAGTTGCTAAGGGTTATAAACAAAAAGAAGGTATTGATTTTTTCGATACATATGCTCCAGTTGCAAGAATGACCACAATAAGAATGCTTATAGCATTGGCCTCCGTATATGGTCTTAAAATTCATCAAATGGATGTTAAGACAGCTTTTCTTCATGGTGACCTTGAAGAAGAAATTTATATGGATCATCCTGAGGGATTTGTGGCAAAAGGCAATGACAGAAAAGTTTGTAAATTAGTTAAGTCTTTATATGGACTTAAGCAAGCCCCTAAGCAATGGAACGAAAAATTTGATAAAATAATTTCTTCGTTTGGATTTACTCTTATAGATGCTGATCAAAGTGTTTATTATAAATGTAAAGGTGATATAAGTATTATTTTATGCCTATATGTTGATGATATATTATTTGGCACTAATGATAATATTATTTTTGAAACTAAGTCATTTTTGAAAACAAAGTTTGAAATGAAGGATATGGAGGTGGTGGAAGTAATTCTTGGGCTAAAGTTGACTAGATCAACCGAAGGCATTTCTATTTCTCAGTCTCATTATATTGAAAAATTAATTGAGAAATTTGGATTTAAAAATAGTAGAATTGCTAAAACACCCTATGATCCTTCTGTAGCTTTGTATAAAAATGAAAGTGGTGTTCATGTGTCTCAATTAAAATATTTTCAGATGATTGGTAGCTTGGGTTACTTAGCTAACTGTACTAGACCTGATATTGCATTTTCAGTGTCTAAACTTAGTCGGTACACTTGCTGTCCAAACAGAACTCATTGGGAGGCCTTACATAGAGTATTTAGATACTTGAAAGGAACTATTTCTTTGGATTTGCATTATGGTAAATATCTTCTGTTCTTGAAAGATATAATGATGCAAGCTGGATAGCTAAGAACTCCGGGAGTTATGGGTGTACCGGCTATGTGTTTACGTTTGGTGGTGGGGCTGTTGCCTGGAAGTCCACTAAACAAATTGTACTTTCTCGGTCTACTTTTGAGGCCGAATTATGTGTGTTGGATACTACAGGGATTATGGCTGAATGGTTTATGGGACTAATGTCCGAGTTACCTATATTCAGCAAGCCAATTCCACCTATTTGTTTGCATTGTGATAGTATGAGTACAATTGCAAAAATTAGGAGTACCAAGTATAATCAAAAGACTAGGAGACACATTCAAGTTAGATTAAAAACTATAAGGAAATTTGTGTCTCAAGGGGTGTTTGCTGTTGATTTTGTTGGATCCAAAGATAATACAGCGGACCCTTTAACAAAAGGACTTGATTGTGCATAAAATCAAGGTTAGGAATGGGTCTGAAACCCAATAATTATTCATCTACGGTAGCAACCCAACCTATCTGAGTGGAGATCCCATAAAGTAGGTTTAATGTGGTATAAACAAACTGTAGAGTGAATTGTGCATCTCATTAAAATAATTTTATGAGTTCTATTCCTTGAAAAGCCTTAGAGATGCTGAAGTTGCTAAGTTAGTAAGAGTTTAAGACTCTGAATGGGATCGAGCTTTAATTACAGAGTGTTAGCAATGCACTCTTAGAGATGCCCAACTATGAGAATGTTATTGTGTGGCCGCAATAAGAGAATAAGGATTAATTCTCGATGACATTCTTGAGACAGGATCAGGACGCATAGCCGGAAACGCGTCAACCCTATAGATCGTTGTCATTGCCTTTAGTGTGTTGCTTTTATCCTACGCCTCCACAACCAAGGTTCGAGTTCAAGAACTCTGTTCACTCAGTTCCTGTGAGGGTTAGGGGTAAGAGCTTAGAATTTGGTTCAAACCGGAAGGTACCATATTTGAAAGCACACTATGTGTTTTAGAGTTGAGTCTACAACTATGGATTTGTGGGGGATTGTTGGAAATATGATGAAAAATTATTTTGAGTGGTCTCATTTTTGGGTCCTGGGATATATTCGTAATATAAACATATGTAATGGGAGTGACTTATTATCAAAGTCTAACTTGTATACTTGGATATATTTCATTCGGTGATTAGAATCCATAGTTGTAAAAGTTGTAAAGTGAAATGTCAAAATTGTAAATTATTGTTCTATATCATAAATAAAATACATCATCTTTTCTCTTTACTTCCTCCTTGCATATGCTCCGAGGAGTTTTCAATATCTCAATCTGGGCAAGAGGGAATGTGAGCCCCTCCACACCTTCAACAAGCTTTTGTTTCAATTTGGGCTCAGTCAAAGGGTGATGCACGTAATCTCTTCGAGCATCATCATCTTTGGAGACTTTAGACTTTAAGTAAAACTTTGCATCTACAAAATAGGACTCGACTTCTATGAATGGAGTCTCATCAGCCAACACCTTCTTCACAATAGCTTTTTCTTCATACATGAAGCATTGGTGCCAAGTTGATGGAATTACACCATTTTCATGGATCCATGGGCGTCCCAACAAAAGATTATATGAAGCTTTGGCATCAATAACATGACACAGAGTACTTGCTTGTAATCCATCGATGACTAGGTCAAGCTTTATCATCCCAATCGCCCTTTGCCCTTTTTGATTAAAGCCTTGAATCATCAAGCGGCTTTGAGAGAGTTCATCCATTGATATATCAAGGATTTTCATAGCTCGAACTGTCAAAATATTAACGGCAGAACCATGATCGATCATGATTCTCTTAATTCTTTGGCCTCAAGAATATCCTTCGACGAAGAGTGGGCGATTATGCGGGGTTGCGCCCAGCATGAGGTCTTCATCTTTGAAGATAATATTAGTGGCATAAGAGGTAGATTTTTGTCCTTCAGCCACTTCTTTCTTAGTTAAAACTGGAGATGAACATCTACTCGAACTCTCAATTTCTTTCTTATGGGTGATAAGGCAAGAACTCGAATTTTGAGTCATCTTGTTCTTGATATTCTTTGGCATATAATCGTTGAGAGTAACCGGCCTTCGCGTAACCTCAAATCGAACTTGATCTTTCCTTTGCTCCCTTTTCTTCAACTCGTT